ATTTTAAGCTAAATTTAAAAACGTTTATTCTCTTGGCAGAAGATGTAACCCAATAGAAATTTTGCACATTTCTTCTTAGTATAATATTAACTGTTGTGCATTATTACAGAAGAATTTGTAAATTTTAGTCGTACCTGCAATATACCTTGTAATATATTCCAAGGTAACGGGATCTTCGACAGTTAATTTATGACTCTGACATTCAACTTGCGCACGATTGATCAATACTCTTGCGTCAGCAGTCAAACCTATTAAGTAAATTGAAAACAATTATTTCATTTGCAACATACAAAAGATAATATTTAACTTTAAGCCTCTATTATACCTGCAAAGGCCATAATTACATGATCGTCCAACAGACATATTTTGCGCACTGTACGTTCCTCTTGTAATTTAGCAACAGACTTCTTCTCGACACCCAAGACTACTACATTTGCACCACGTACACCAACCTGCACATATAAAAAATTGAAGCACACATATACAGACAAAGCCTAAATAAATGAATTTAAATTAATTACAAGTAATTGAAAACAAAAATTTGACGCAATTATTAGAGCATTACAGTTAACAAATGTATTTCATAAAGACCTTACAAATAATAAGACGAAATTAAACTATTATGAAGGTCTTAACTTTCCAACTATTTTTGAGTTCCTAGTCTAGGTTGAAAACTGAGTAGACTAGATCGGAAACAGTCAGAAAGTTAAGACCTTCATAATAGTTTAATTTCCAATTTTGTCTTATTATTTGTAAAGACTTTATGAAATACATTTGTTAACTATAACGCTTTAATAACTGCGTCGAATTTTTGCTTTCAATCGCCTGTCATTCATTCATATTTATGTGTTATCTCAAAAACTCAATTTATTTTATTTTATTTATTAAAGAATAAATAGCATTTTAGAATATTTCAGCTGGAATTTTTAAATTCTTTATGATCAGAAAAATGACATGGATATAAATGTTTTATTCTTAAGAATAGAATACCAGAATATGACATGCCAAGAACGATAATGCTGAGATGTAGAAATAATAAAAAACACATAGTATATATATATGTACACACACACACACACACACACACACACACACACACACACACACACACACACACACACACACACA